TGGTTACTGGAATGTGTGGAGTGGGTTGAGGGGAGGGAGGGGAAGGTGTAGCACAGGGTAGGAAAATAGATGCACAATAATTAGGGTGCTTGGAAGGGAGTCAATACACAAAAAGGGGGAAGGAAATGGAAGAACAAGGTGGATGGAAGAACAATTAAGGAGGTTTGCAGGGGCTAAGTGGGACAGAGGTAAAGAATGATGCATGCATAACCTTGGAACAACAGGGCTGTGAGATACAGGGATTGAGGCATAGGTGGAATGGGCAAAAGAGGGGAAATAATGTTAAGATGCTTGGCTGTCTTTTGAATCTTGGTTTCACTTGCATACCATTATAAAATAGATACTTGCAGGGGAGAGAAAGGAATAGCCAGAAATATCACCACAGAAAGTTTGTAAGTCTGTCTTCTACCTATAACTGATTGGAATACCAAAAATGGGTCTACAATGTGCCCAGTACAGGAGGCTTCCGGTGGAGCGTCTGCATTACATAAAGCCATAGGTGGAACACTGAATGCCATCCAGAATCTTCTAAGGTGGGAAATTTCCATTTGAAAGGAAAAGCAGACCAGTCTGGAGCAGCTAGAAGAACAGTAGCTACTTCTTGAAAGAAAGACTGACAGGAAAAATACAAAACAATAACGACAGTCCTACTTACTACTACAAGAACAATAAAGTTGCTCGCCCAGGAGACATCAAGGCACGTGGTTGGGTCCCCTCGGGGCAAACCTCCTTCCAAGACTAAGACTCAATGGGAATACACGAACAGACATGTGCTCTGACTGATAACCATGTTGGTTACTAATAAGTGGAAGTGAGGGAAAAACTAAGCAATGAAGCTGTGAGCTAAGTCCAACAATGTTCAACAGACTCCTGTGAATCCGGGTGTAGACCTGGTTGGCCAGCAGTATGGCAAGACCTGGGGACTCCTGGCCCCAGAGTCAGCGACATAGCCAGAGGACTAGAGTGGAGAATAAAGTGTCCAGCTGATAAGAAGAGAGGGCATATGCACAAGAACACCCACACCACATGATAATACCCACTTGACCTGGCTTCAATGGCTGGATGATCAGAGCTCAATGAGAAGAAAGAAAAAAAAAGAGTAATCTGATACAATTTGATGAACTTGACCTACACCTATGGATGTAGTAACTCAAAAGAGGGAACAAATCTTTACAGCGAGGATCATTCCCACCGCCTCAAATGATACACAGAGTAGACAGGAATGGGCAACTTAGACACTGACTACACAAAATGGGGGGCTTCAAAGACAAGAAGTGACTGGCATACAAGCTTTCACGAGACGGAGCCTAGATCCAGAGGGCGCGGAGGAAGGTAAAATCTCCACTGAGTAGTATCCAATCTGTCTGGGCAGGACTGATGAAAGGAGATGGGGATAGCACTCATGTAGTACAATAGTGAATAACTGCTATCAGGACTGCCTGTGACGACTGGAAATGTAAAAGGTAGAGATTTTGCAGCAAAAGTAGGGGAGTGGTTGACTTTGCAGTCCAGTAGCGGAGGTCCCTGGGACCATCAAGGGAGAAGAGTGGAGTGCAGGACCCTACCCAGAGAAACAGTG